ACGAAAAGCAAGAAGTACATTCGGATTACGGATAATTGTAGCCAATCAAACTGATTTTGCAAAAGCAGGAATGGCGAAAAGCAGGAACAATTCGTTCGCAGACCAGGCTCTAATACTTACGAGTTTTCTTCGTAAGGTAGAGCTATTTCTCAACAATGTGGACGTAGCTCAGAAGATCGTTGAACCTTATGTCTGGCCGGACAATGGCGAAGTTCATACGAGTGTACTTGTTCACTTCCATCAGCACGGGTTTAGTGGTATTCGAGTGGGATCGAAACATGGCCGCTTGAGGTACCGGTGAAGTGACCCTCTACTTATTCCTGTACATGTGTATTATAATACCGTTTAATGTGTTGAATATCATACACTTGGTTGTCTATCATACCAGTTTGCGCTGAAATAGCTCGAAGTGTAGTTCGATCGGCAAGTGGTACTTGCAATTGTTAATCTTTCGTTTGGGCTGCTGTGAAGGCAAAAATTCGGCCTACTTTACACTTCTTCAGACTGGAGACTGACCCATTCATGTTGCCTTCCGCAACTCCTTAGTCCTTGGCACGAGCAAGGACTTTGAGATTCGTGGCAGCATGGCAGTTGTACTTGCTGGCTAGGTATTGGCCAAACTCAATTGGAAGCCTGGTGGAGTAGGTACCATTACTCTTTAGTTTGGTTTCACGAAGGATGGCTACGCGCTCCTCGTTTGTCAGGTCCCGCCTTCCCGTTCCCATGTCGATTGAATGCACGTTGAGAGCGATTGTATTACATGAAAAAATCTGATAACATGCTGAGCCTCAAAACTCGACATGTTAAGGTGTCGACAGCACTACATTAGACACACCAAATGAAAGGTTTTGGCGCGCTCTATCTTGTCATCCAATCAGGACTACGAAATGTGCTACGGGGAGGTATACAAACCATTTTGAAATGGATAGTAATATATAATGACCAGACATTTACAACTTCCTCAAAGTCGCGCAATTATTGTGGGATGGAGGGAGCATTTACTATATTCAAACTCGCATTATCATAATTGAACTCGAAGAAACAAGGACCTCCTCATTGGTGTTGTGGAAACAGATATTATGATTTGCCTCTGAATATGGTGTCAAAAACCTTCATGTCTCATCAACAGGCGATGGAGAATTGCATCGAAATTCTTCGAGGCAATAAGTATATCCTCCCTCACATGAAGAAATTGTGATGGCGACCGACTTCACTTCATTCAACGTGGAATGGGAAGACTATACGAGAGTACATTGATCCAATTGAACTTTCGATTTTAAGAAGTGGCATCCATGGAAGTTCAAATACTACTGAATTCCCAAGAACAAGGTCTTGTGGCAATTGAATAATTTTGCAATATAATTTTGGCCTCATTAATTTGTTTTTGGAGCGACATACAAATACTAAGTTGTTTCTGGATCAAGTTGCATAATTTTAATACGAAGGCAGCAACTTTTTCGGTATACTAGTACTAGTCGCTGCAGCCTCATTAGTACTAGTTTAGGGTGCGAGGACTACTATTAGTATGTGTATAGTAAGTAAGTGAATCTTTTACTATCTCGATGTTTGCAAACCTCTCAAAACCAGTGCAATACGGCAGACATTAAATGCCAAAGAAACCGTTCAGCGTCAGTTGGATGCAAGCAGCAATGGCGGACGATGGAAGCATTCCGTATAACTGCGTGGCGTGGACGCTAATAGAAGGCTACCCTTGGTCTCCAGTTTATGTACTCGATCCGAACCAAGTGCGCGAGAACTTGGAGATGTTGGGTACAACGCAAACCTATCCACTCGACACACCTAACGCAATTCCTTCTCCAGGTAACTCGCACCAAGATCACTTGAAAAAGGCCCGAGAGTGGCCAAATGTGTACCGACTGGTGTACAACTTTGGCTATCACAACATGTAAGTGAACATGCACAGTCGGAATCACCCCCTGATCAAACGTCGTTGGATTGCAGCTCTCTTCAGCGTCTGGGACAGTTCATCAAACCGTGGAATTGCCACGAACACCACAGGTTCCTCAAAGGATATCCCCTGGAATCTATGAGTGGACGATTTGTGGTTCAGGCATTTCAAGAGGCATTGTACGAAGCTCAGGTACGACGGCAAACACCAATGTGATGATGCTCAGTCGAGATTCCACAGACCTTTTTGCAAACGGATGAACGGTATCGCTTGCTACCCAACATGACTGCATCAGATTTCTACCCGTCCTGCAACAAGCCTGCTCCTACAGTCATGGCTCCCATCCAAGCTTTATCGTCGTGTAAAGTTCTAACTCCAACGTTCCAATGTGTCACACCTGCTTCATTTTGTCACAGTGCCATCAGTTTTGCAAGGAAACCAAGATGCTTATTCACATTCTCCAAGGAATTTATGCGGAAGCCACGTGGAATCGTCGACTGGACAAAGCGATTCGTTGGGACACATCCTGGATTCTGTACAACGTAAAGGAACTCAGCAGCAACTCAAAGCACCGTCAATGCGATATCATGCATCACCGACCCCGCAAATGCGATCAGAAGAGCAGCCTGCGGCACCATCACGAAGAACCAGGGCCATGATTCAACTCGAACAAGGTGGTCTCTGTTATTTTTTCTTAGGTTTTTGTTACCTGTGTCATGATTGGCTTTGCAGGCACGCACCAGATGGAGAAGTCGCGACAACCTCAAATTGCCCAAGAGTCACAACGACTCTCGCATTTGACGTTGTTGCATCAAGCGGCGAGTTTGAGACAATCTCCTGCAAGGAAATCTTCATCGCGGCTGGCTGCAAAGGAAAGTCATCAACCTAAGGACAATACACCACCCAAAGAGGTCGATTCACGGACTATTCAGAAGTCAAAACGGTCCAAACCAGCCAAGACAGCGGCCAAGAAGCTACGAATTGCAAAGACAAGAAAGCCACCAAGTAAGAGCTGTTCATGACGTATTGGAATGCTCAGCCGCAATAGGCCGCGCACGAATCAAAGATGCACAATCCAGCCCAGTGGTACCAGTGCCATTAATCCCTACTGTGGTGAAGACTGCAGCTGCGAATGTCGAGACAACAGTGTCATATTCAAGTCCACCAAGAACACTAGGAGAACTTCTACATCCAACCACACAGTCAAAGCCACAACATCAAACAGAAGATATTCGTATGGGGCACCCGGTGGCACGTGTGGATCTTAATCTCGCTCGAATGGGGTATGCGATCGATGGAGTCAAGATGTTAGGTGCATCATTCTTAATTATAATTCCGTCTAACACGAGTGCAGGAAATCCGAATTCTTCCAAAGCAAGTTTGCCTGTTCAATTTGAGCCAGATATACGCCTGTGCGATCACAAGTTCAACTCGATTGTGTGGGCATATATTCATGGCATGTCGTGGTGGCCAGCAATTGTTCTCGATCCATTTCAAGTGCGCTCAGCGTTAAACTACCTTGGTAAGGTGGCAATGGATATTGTGCAATCACAATTTGACCAAAGCATTCCACAGGCAATTCGCATGGCTTGCCACTAAAACGCTGCAAGAAAGACCCGAACGACTGTCGATTGGTTTATGTTTTTGGCCTTTATGTGTTGTATGCCCATATTTTCTGAACAACTCATCGTCGCTTACGATATGTTTTTAGCTGGGCATTAAAATCGAAGATCCGGCCGTGGAGATGTTTCGACCATGAGACTTTCCTTCATGGCGCCGTAGCATTGTTTGACACGAATGCACCTATGGTTGATATGTTTGCCGAAGGCGTTCGCGAAGCTGAGGTTTTAGAAGTGTTTTTCAACAATGTGACTGACAACTTACTTTCAGGCGTATCTTGGCGCCCAGGTGCTTGATCAAGTTCTTCCGTATATCGATTCGTCGGAAATTTCGTCGGCGGCCGTAATGCTGCCGCCTGCAGAAGTCCAATGCAATACTGTGGCATGGGCGAGGAGAGAAGGGGATTGGTGGCCTGTATTCATATGTGATCCGCGGACATTGCGATTGAATCTCTATCATCTCGGTAGCACATTGTATTAAAATGTTGTCGTACTCAAAAATCATAGGAATTGGCGTTCTACAGCAGCTTCGAGTGGCACGAGGGCTTCCGTTCCACAACCGAATAGTCTACTACTTTGGCTCCCATGAATTGTACATCTTGATGTGATTTCAAGATGGCCCTTAAATTGTACCATGTACTGTAGCGGTTTGTACAAGGATGACAGTATGATCAAACGGTGGTTGTGTTCGCAACACACTGAATTTTCGAAAGCACCATCCAAATCGCCGGATGGAATTAGCCTTGCTGACGCCGTGAAGGAAGTTCAGGTAGGATAAACCTCAAGAAAAAACGAAGAGTCTAAGTAGTCATGATGTGTAGGAATTCTTCGTGTCGGACGAAGGCAGCCGCGTTCTACTGTGCAAGTTCATTGATCGGGGTGCGACCCTGCCTCAACTGCATTCGTTCACTGAGGGTGCAAAAATACCTGAATACGATGGCCTTCGCATCGTGTTTGGTCTGTATCAACCATCCTCGATCCGTGCAAAAAGGGGTGAAGAAGGCGACAATGCGCCTGTTCAGAGGTCAGAAATTGTTCCAACACCGTCGAGCTCAAGCGCAGTTGGCTGTGGAAATACAATTTCACCAATGAAGACTGTGCTACCAACAGTTCTTATGCAACATGGTTTGTATCCCATTTTGCTTCCACTTCCATTGGAAAGAATCTCTATGCAACCCACGGAGGATCATCAACTCCATGAGAATGCTATGGCAGATGTCTTGACTGAACTTGTGGATACTAACTGTATGGCTAACTCAACGAGTGAGAGCGTCTACGTTACGTGACTTCTCTAACTGTGATTTAGTTGAGATGGGAGAAACGAAAGGCGACACCATCGAGTCTCCCGAGGCCATTCAAGAAGCGACCGAAGCCATAACGCCAGAGCAAAATGTTCCTGACTTCAACTACGACATGCTGGCCCTTGAAGAAAACAGCGAAGTTGAGCTATCCATTATATACACAGTGGAGGACCTCGTCGCAACAGTTGAAATTCAATGCACTGACGGTAACGAGTTATCATATCTGCAAGTAGGTTACATTACATGACTTAGAATCAAGCCAATGGAATGCCAATGACACCGACGAAACCTCGAATGTGGTGGACGGCGAATACGACTTAAATAGAGTCGCATGGGCTCGCAAGTCTTCCAAGCACCCGTGGTGGCCAGTATTTGTTTGCGATCCTCGAACGTTTCGATCGGAATTGCATTTCCTGGGTATTTTGCGATACTCTTCTGTACGCCTGATAAATCACCCGAGGCTTTCTGCAGGAATTCGGCATCGGCGTTTATTATATCGCGCACGACGAGACATCGCTTCCAAGAGGCTTGTGTACTATTTTGGACGGCACACATTGTAAGTTGTTTGATTGTGCAGAGACGAATAAACACTTTTGAGGCAGTGGTGTTACGTCGTTGCCGTTTCTAAAACGGTGGAACTCGAGCAGCCATACAAATTACGCAACTGGCCTCAACCCGAATGGCGCTGCTGTCGACATTTTTCTCGAAGCATTGCACGAAGCTCAGGTATTATTCGTTTTGCAGTTGTACCCAGTAAAACACACGTAGAAGTGTCACGACTTGAATGGTGCGCGTTGTGACCTGCCCTTTGTGATGCCATGGGACGTGGATCTTTCCCGTGTACCTCCAACACCACCCCAAGACGCAGTTAAATATGCAAGTGTGGTTTGGGCGCAGGAATCGGGATCGTGGTGGCCAGTTTACACATGCGATCCAGACATGTTTAGACCTGAGCTTCAATTGGGTAAGGAATAAGAACAGCTTCTTCCAAAAGCTAAGGTGTTCTGTAGGTCCGGAGGATGCACGTCTCCTGAGAATTGCCGTGCAGCTTCCACAATATTACATCCTTGTCTATTTTTTCGGAAAACATCAATTGTAAACACCCTCCAATGATGAACGCTTATGCACATCTACATGTAGTGGTCTGCGGCAACGATTGGCTCTTACAAATGGATGGTTGTGTTGCAATCACCGATCTTACATGGACCAATGCCTTGAAAACGAGGGTAGCGTGTCCGAGCAAGCGCTGTCAGAAGCTGAGGTTTGAGTTCCAGCATATTCTATATTTCTCTTATTGCATATACACAGGAATTCGTTTCGAAGCATGAGCCGCACAAATTGCCTTTCCAGTTGCATCTAGTTCCTTCAGTGAAAACTTCAGCGTCACCTCGTCAATTGAAATTGATGGGCAAAGTTCCAGTAGCAAGGACATCCCATCTTGACAGTACCTGTGCTTTTATTGCTAGTGGTTTCTCCTACGAACTCCTTAGGTTTTTGGCTGGCTGAGTGGAGAGAAGAAACTAAAGTTGCACGACATGAAGCGGAATTGAAAGCTCATCGCAAAGATGTATACTCGTTCTTCAAAAGTAGGATTATTCCCTTCTGTAGCACCCTTCTGATCCTGGACAGAAATGATGCGCCTAGACAACAATGACAGTGATAGCTCCTTAAGTAGCAGCTCAGGTGTTTCAGTGCGCTCAGTTGACGATTCCGACGAACCAGAAAGTTGTGATACTGAGTGGGAGCACAGTGACCCAGAGTCCTCGAGACGAACTTATTCGAAGGAACTGAAACTCGGTGGAAAGGCCAAGTCTCCTGGGCGTCATACCACTCCAGAACCACCCGCTCTCAGCAGCATTGTCAGAACAAGAGTCGTCAGCACCCCGAGAAATCCTATTTATCGCCGATTGTCTTGCAACGGAGGAATCCAACGAACAGCTCACATTTGGAAACACTTCATTTGGCTGGAACACTTGGGGCGATATCACAACAACAAATATATCGAATGCCGGTTTTGTCGACAAGCTTATGAGAATCGTGGCAATCGCGACATTGCTCCTCCCAAAGTCCTTGTCAGTCAAGTTTCCAAGATGAAGCAACATTTGCTCAAGTGTCCGCACTGCAACTTTTCCCACGAAGACCTCGAATCCCCAAACGATGCAAAGCGTGCAATCGAAATGACTTCGACAGTTGAAAAACTGTCACAACGCAGTCGAAGGTCATTGAGAAGCACAGCAGCCGAAGTGGGCAGCGACACGCACGGCACAGCTGAAGTACCTCAGCAGAAAGTCGATGATGATAAAAGAGTACAAGTTAAAGATTCAATACCGCAGGTAGAGGCGTCAACCGAACCTGTCGCGAACAAGGAACCCGACATCACTCCTGTGAAGGTACATAAATTGTTGAAATGTATGATTGTCCTGAGCAACGATCAGGCTTCTGGCACCATTCACAATGACGATAATTCGGAATTCGACCACGAAATCCAAGTGCCGACTTGGCCAGCCCTTGCGACATCAACAGCACCAGTCAAAAAACCGAAAGTGGAAAGTCAAGTGCTGAAGAAGAGAAAATCACAAAAATTCATTGTCCTCGATGGCGACTCCGACACCATGTCCGACGAGAATTTCAAGAGCCTGCGAATGGTCGCGAAAGTGTGTTCAGTTAAGAAACGCCGAAAAACTGCAGAATTGCCAGCTACATCGGAACGGCCAACGACTCGAAATGGACTCATTCTGCCCCCATTAGTTGGACATCCATTCATTCGACCTAAAGAAAAGGATCGAACAGAACCGATCGAACCAATTGTTGCGGTGCAGCCAACTCTCCCTATGCCAAAGAATGTTCAGCCAGAACCGATCACACCACCTGTTGCGGTGGCTCCGAGCCATCCTACAGTGGAGAGAGAGTTGTTGCTCCAGCGAAGGGTTTTCCCCCAACACCTTGCAATTGTGGCTCCGCCAGTGCTGCCTACCCCGTCCGCGAAAGGCCTAACCGACTGGCATGATACTATCGTTTGGGCGTATGTGAAGGGGTTTCCGTGGGTTCCCGCATATGTTTTGAACCCGTTCAAATTGCGTACCGACTTGCATTTGCTTGGTACGGTTGTTTTCGATGTATAAGGATTCAATTCTAACCTCTTCTCAGGGAAAGACCATGCGCCGACGCTCAAAAATGCCAAGCAAAAGCCGCGGGACAATCTCATCATATACTACTTTGGAACGCACAACTTGTTCGTTTAGCGTCATTCTTTCAAATCCATCATACTGACTATTCTATGTAGTGGCCTCATCACAAAACCTTCGATTGCTCTCCGACCATGGCACTGCGACGAACGCTCCAAGTTTCTGAAGGGTTTTCCGAAGGCGTCTTGTCGGAGCAAAGCGAAAGAGGAGTTGGTTGATGCGATTGAAGAGGCAAAGGTATTCCTTTCAATATTGAATGTCCCAACCGTAAAATTTTAGTGCTTTGAAGCGGCTGACAAATCAACGAGACTTTTGCCATACATGGTTCCTTCGGATACTGATCCTTCACGCTCCCCGCCTCAAGTCCAACCAGTCGCTGTGGATTCCTTGGCCTGGGCCATCTCCCAAGGATATCCGTGGATGCCAGTCTATGTGTGTGATCCGTATAAACTGCGCTCGAATTTACATTTTCTTGGTATTTTCGTATCAATGCAACCGCAATTGTCACCCGATCGTTAGGTAATGACCACTATGACGACCTGATGGAAGCAAGGTTGTCCCCAAATTCACGGCTCGTGTACTATTTTGGATCGCACTGCTTGTACGTATCTCATCGAGTTCGAAATTTTCTAACGATTCAGTAGCTGTCTGTACAAAATGAACGGCTCTCTGAAGCCATGGGACTGCCCGGAGCAAAACTTGTTTCGAAAGGGACAATCAGAATCGATCTTGTACATCAAACCAAGCATTTTGGCAGAGTTCAATGAAGCGATGAAGGAGGTGGAGGTACGGATTTGTCAGTGCGCCAACGGGTTGATCAAGAAGTGGTTTTTTAGGAATTTCTCTCCATGGACGTCGAAAATCGCGTGCTGCCCGAGATGCACTCAAGTGACATGAACCCATTATTACCCTCTCCCCAATCACAAAATTCTGAAAATTGGGACGTTGGGAGCGACGCGAGTATCCCAGATTCGGAAGCAACAGTGTCGGACGGTGAATCACGACAGGTCGATCTTCAAACGAATTCTCATAAGATGACCAAAGCGGTCATTTCGGTGCGAACACGACAACCGAAAACCCAGGGTAACTCGAGTGTTGCCCAGCAGGAAACTCGAACAAAGGATAAAGCTACACCAAGGCGCCCCCACAAGTCTCCACCGCTCTACAAGCCACGTAATGCGCCGACGACGTACCCGATCACTACGCCAGCAAACAATGTCATTGTGATTGACAGCAGCAACGAATCTGAGGACGCAAGCAACATGAGTGTGAGTTCGGCTAAAGAAGAAGAAGAGCTCTCGCAACGAGAAAGTAGCGGTTCCGACAGCGATGAAGGTTGTTATGCTGCACGTCGTCATTCCACATGCCAAATTGGGAAGTGAAAACATTTTTCTAAATGTTACAAAATTTGAAATATTCGAGTAAATTTTTTTGGGATGCCCACGCTGCCAACTTCAATTGCTAAGGTGCCAAAAAACTCTGGGTTCCAAGACGGCGGGCATTTGGGGGAATTGACCAGTGCTTTTAGATTGCCTCTGCCTTGGTCAGTGCCACTCTACGGAGATACACCACCGACGATGGAAAGGGACCACCGTGGGGCACGGGTTGTTAAGTACAGCGGTCCCTGTATGGACCTGCCCCTGCGGAATGGCACTTTGCATGCTAGATATGAAAGTGTTAATTGCAATGGTACGAATCTTGTCATGTTACTCCTATTGAATTGTTGCTGTTATTTCAACTAGCAACGTGACTGTGCCTTCTGACAATAGCTTTGGAATGCGTATGTGGCTCTTGTACTTTCTTGAGCATACATTGTAAACTCATTCTCAACCCAAGTTGTATCACTCTTCGAAACCATTTACCTCTTTTGAGAAGATATTCACAGTGTTTTATGTACTGATTTCCCTCACTAAGTCGAACGGTACAAAGTGAATAATCTCTGAAAATCAATATATAAAGTTGGAAAGGCAATTTGAATTTTGAAACTGGGCTGATTACGTTGGAGCAAAGTGCTCGGGTAATTTTTGAATTTTCAGCGATGAAGGAGCGCATGACACTTCATGAAAGACATGAGCTGTATGAACATCACATGCAGCATCCAACAAAAAAGTATTCTGAGCTCGCTTTGTGGGCGAAGGAATCATTTAACCTCGCTCGGGTCCCAACTAAATCTACCATTGGGCTTGCGTTGAAGAACAGTGCGATCTGTATCGCAGTCGCCCGTTGTCAACTGCTGGAATCGAACTGGCATTTTGGACAATGACTTGTCCATGTTCACATCAAACGTGTCTGTAATGAATTTGAATTGATTGATTTTCGAAGTCTGTGCAACAATTTATACCTCTATATTTGGATGTATTGCGATAATTGCATACAATGAACCATTTGACTTAGCGAGGGAAATCCGTAGTTTACAGTAGTCGACGGCACCGAGGGGACCAGTGATTAGGTTTATCGTAAATATTACACATGAGAGTAAGTGATTCGAAACCAAAAGAATGATAGAATATAAATGGAGGTATGCATTTGTAAAGGT